GAGAGAGAGAGAGAGAGAGAGAGAGAGAGAGAGAGAGAGAGATCTCAAACATAAGATACCAGATAGAATAAATTTCATGAGAGGAATAGATAAACAAAAGAGAGCAAGTAAGGGAATCCATTGTGCCCAACACAGTAAGCTAGCAAGCACCAAATAATACTAAGGAGGGAAGGCAAAGAACAAACAGTATTCCAATCAGAAAAACAACCAACAAAATTCCAGGCATAGTAAACATTTCTCAATAATAACTTGCATGTAAATTGATTCCATTCAGCAATAAAAAAGACACAGATTGGCTGACTGGATTTAAAAAAACTATGCCCCATGGTCTGCTGTCTCCAAGAAATGTACTTCATTAGTAATGATACCCAAAGCTTGAAAGTCAGAAGATGAAAGCCTATCAAGCAACTAGGAGCTAAAAATCAAGTGGCATAGCTATTCTGATACCTGATAAAATAGACTTAAATCAAACAGTCTGAAGAAATAAAGAACACTAAATATTAATAAAGGTAACAATTAAGAACATAAAACAACTGTAAATATATGTTGTCCAAATGTTGAGACTACCAATTTCATAAATCAAACACTGCTAGATATGAAAGGTCTGATCAGTAACTATATAATAATAGTAGGTGATTTCAGTACCCCATTCTCATCTTTAAATAGGTCATTAAAACTAAAGATCAACAAAGAAACCTCAGAATTAAATTATCATTTATCAAATGGATTACACACCTATACATCGACACATACACAATGAATATTTGGTCCATATACATTCTTCTGAGCAGCTCATAGAACCTTCTCTAAAACAGAGCACACTAGGTCACAAACCAAATCTTTAAAAATACAAAATAAAAATAATTTCTGTATCTTATGAAACAATAGTGAAATAAAACTAGAAAAATTTCAGAAGCTACACAAATACATGCAGCGTGAACAATACACTTTTGAATGACCAGCAGGTCATTAAAGAACTCAGGGAGGGAATTAAAAAACTTCCTAGACTGAAGTCAAAATAAAATCAAAACTTACCAGAACCTTTAAGATACAATAAGGCAATTCTAAGAAGAAAGTTTAAAACAATGAATGCTTACATTAAAAAATTAAATCACAAATGATATAAACTTCAAACCAAATGAGATTAAAGAAAAATTTTAAAGACCACTAAATGTTAATAAAAGGGATAATTCATCAAGAAGATATAATAATGATAAATATATATATATATGCTAAACACTGAGGTCAATCACATTCTTCAAGCTCTTGGGAAAATAAGAACATACACAAAAGCCTTATACAAAAGCAGCAGATGACAAAAAATAATAAAGATCAGGCCAGAAAGTAATGAAATGGAGATTAAAAGAACAATGTATATGGGGATGGGGGGACAGCTCAGTTGGTAAAATGTATGCCATTCAAGCACAAGAACCTAAGTTCAGATCCTCAGCACCCATATAAAAAGCCAGGCATGGTGTATCATGCCTATAATCCCAGAACTGGGGAAGTAGAGACAAGAGTATCCTGGAGGCTTACTTACTGGTCAGTTAGTCTAGACAAATCAAGGAGTTCCAGGTTCAGTGAGAGACCCACACTCAAAAAACTCAAGTGAAGAGTGAAAAAAAAGACACCTGATTTTTTCCTCTGGTTTCTACACATGATATGTGCACACCTGTAACACACACTAACATTTATATACCACACAAACATACATATAAAAAAACACACACACACAAAAGTATGCCATAATTACATTGTTACCAGGACCAGATACAGATGCAACAAAAATAAAGAATAAAATAAAACAATTACTTTAATGAACATGACTCAAAATAATAAAATTCTTTCAAGCCAAGTTCAAGAACACATTACAAGAGCATACATCATGACAGTTTCACTCTAGGATGTAAGGATGGTTCAACAAACACAAATCATTAAGTATAAAACATCACATAAATAGATATAAGGACAGAGATCACATTATAATCTCATTAGATGAAAAAAAAGGTACTTAACAAAGTTAAACACATGATAAAAGCTTAAAAAACTAAGAACAGAAGGAATATACTTCAACATAATAAAGACTATATATGACAAACCCATAGCCAACATTACACTAACTGGGGGAAAATTTTAAAACATTTCCTCTAAAATCAGGTGCTCACTCTCTCTGCTATTATTCAATATAGTGCTCAAAAATCTTTCCTAGAACAAAGCAAAAGAGAAAAAGAAATGGATGCAATCAGGAAAGGAGGAAGCCAAATAATCCCTATTTGCAGAACACATCAACGTACGCTTAGAGAACCAGAAAGATTCTATCAGGAAACACTTAGAACTGATTAACACTCTCCGCAAAGTAACAAGATACAAAATTAACATACAAAATCCAGTAGCTTTTCTATATAATAGTAACAAACACGCAGAGAAAGAAATATGGGTAGGGTTCAGGATCTCATTCAGAACAGCTTAATAAAGGAAACTAAGAGTAAACCTAATAAAACTGAATGACCTCTAAAACAGAAATATTAAAACACAAATTGAAAAAGATACTAGAAGTGGAAACACCTCCCGTACTCATAAATTGGAAAAATTAATACTGTGACAATGGCTGTTATTCTCTAAAGCAATCTACAGATTCAATGCAATCCCCATCAAAATCCCTATGACAAACTTCACAGAACTAAAAAAAAAATTCTAAAATCATAAAAGGACAAAAATGGCTCAAATAGCCAAAGAATTCCTATGCAAAAAGAACGATGCAAGATGCTTCATACCAGATCTTACAAATATACAAAGCAGAAGTAACAAAACAGCATGTTACCAACACAAAAACATAATACATGGAATCCAGTCCTAAAACTGTGCAAGTGTGTGTGTGTGTGTGTGTTTGTGTGTGTGTGTGTGTGGTACAGACGTCATGAAACTAAAGAAATTTTGAGAAGAAGCAATCTTAACACAGGTAGGAAAGAAAAGGTAACTGAGTATTTGTGACATGAAAAGAGAATGGGCTAACCATTTGGGGTCAGAAGGAGTCAAGTCAGAGGCAGGGGGAGGAGGCCTAGGGAAGGGCAGTGAAGAGTAATAAATCAGAATGACAAATATGACACAAGTATGAAAGTGCCATACTGCAATCCATTACTCTGCATGCTAACCTAAAATATTTTTAAAAATTTTAAAGGAGGGTTGGATTTATTATATTAATTAATTAAACTAAAAATTGTGAATTGAATTCAACAAAAATGAAGCAACTTTTAAATGTTTTAAATATCTTCAATAGACTTAAATATTAAAAATCAGTTATTTGTAGTATGTTAAAATGAAATGGAGATCTTTTTTAAAGGTTAAAACCTCATTCAATTTTATGTCTTATAGGGTTTATATTGAGTTCATTACTGTATAACTGTGTTAATTCAACTGTGAACCTAAAAATTTACAGCCAATTTTGAAAGGGATGCATCTTTGCTCTGGAAATTGTTATGGAGTATGTTAATGCTATAATGTTTCTTCTAATCATGTGGTTATTAAATAAATTTTTAAAAAATCAGTTATTCTGTTTGACTACCAAAAGACTACGATAATAATCCACATTTTATTTTCTAAATAATTAAAATAATTTCATTAAAAGTCAGAAGCTGTGAACCTAGAAACTTGCACCCACTTGTGAAAGAGATGTACTCTGGAGTATGTTACTAAATATGTTAAAGCTGTAGTGAAATGCTTCTTCTAATCGTGTAGTTATTAAAAATGTTTTTAAAAAAGAAACTGGGAAAGTTTAGGAAGAAAGCCTTACTTCACCTTAGAAGGGTCTGAGGAAAAACTTGTGGGACACAATCCATCACGTAGTAAGACACTGGTTAAATTTTAAATCTGAACTCAGACAAAACTCAAATATATTTATATGTTCTGACATGAAAATTAATTTGTAGTTCTCTCTAGATTCTACTAGAATGAAAGAACATAGCAAAGGAATTAAGCAGCTCTTTTCTTCCCTCCACATCTACTACTATATAATGAATTAAGTGTTAAAGATTAGATTCCTGCTCACTCCTAGAGGAGAGCCTTATTTAAAAAAAAAAAAAATCACTAACAGAATGCTTACGTTAGTTTTATTTCATCTGATGGTCGAAGTAGCTCATTTGATATTCCTGGTTTAGTTAGTGCGGAAAACACTTGTCCCCGTTCAATCCAAGTATCATCATCAGACTTTTCTAGGCCCTTACACATGACATAATTCAAAATACTTGTCAGCAAATGAAGAAGCTCCTCTTCGCATCTCTATAAAAACATAAAGCAATATTCAACTGTTGGAGGAAAGAAGTGTTAAAGACATATCATAAGAACCATCACATATACTGGCTAATCATGTAAAATATTGTGTCTTTATTGGCCTGGAACTTGAGTGACCTTAAAGATACAAGATATGTAAGATGGAAGGTTTGCTCTCAAGACAATAATAGAAAAGAGGACGTTGTTCAGAGTAGACCACTTGCCTAGCATGTATGAGCCCCTATGTTCAGTCTCTAATAGCACACATGCACATACAAAAACATTTTTTAAAAAACCCACAAGATATTAGTGACTAGTGACAATTAGACTTCTAAACTTTAGATCCTGAGACTTAGAACATAAATAGAAAATATGAGTAACTGCTCACATACTGCTTAGGATTAGAGATATATATGAAGCATATTAAGAAATGTTTTTGGAAAGAAACAATTTTACCTCTTGGCTTTCAAGGAAAGAGAAGTCGTCACTAAAGCTCATTTCATTTGTGATGCTCCTTTCTTTGTCAGGCTGCAAAGAAAATGATTTAGTAGACTCTACTGGGGATGGTGTACTAGGTGAACTGTCTGGCATTTGACTTCCACTATCACTCAGTTCACAAGAGTCAATTCCACTGAGATTTAAACTCAAATGTGAAGGGTTATTATGCCAGAATTCTTCTTGATTCTCTGACTTAAAAGACAATTCTCCTTCAGAATGATCTTCTTGAAATAACAGCGTGTTTGAGCTTAGGGAGTGCCGATCCTCCAAGCTCCAAAGATCTGAAGATACATTTGCTGATGTCATTTTTTCTTCATCTACTTTTTCAGAGTTCATTTTAAAATCTTCAGTTGACATAGTTTTATTTTCTTTCATTGAAACAGCCCTTCCATGTTTATAAAGGGAATTACCGTTTTCAAAATTTGGTTTTAAGAAAAGTCTAACCAAGGTGTCTTGCCAACCCACTTGTTGTGCTATCTGATATGCTGCATCTGGCTGGGTCTGCAAAATTCGTAATATCTGCAAAGAGATTAAGAGTACAAAATTCTTCAAAATATATGCAGTATTTTATATATAAAAAAGACTTCAATAATTTTAATGACAAAGTAATTTAATGAAAAACAATGAGAGGCAATATTTTCACATGCTCTGTGTGTCTGTGGTATGTGTGTGATGTATATGAATGTGTCTGTGTGGTACATGTGTGCATATGTATATACATCATGCACATACATGCACATGTATGCCAGAGAAGGACATTGGTGTTCTGCTCTTTCCCCACTGTGCCTTATTCGCCTGAGGAAATGTCTCATTGTCCTGGAGGTAGTCTGGCAGTCAGTAAACCCCAATAATCCTCCTGTCTCTAGCTCCTATAGCACTGAGCTTCTAGGAATACAAGGCCACGAAGGGTAGTAAGCCATCTCTCTTACACAGGATTCTGCTAAGTTTTTACAAGGTATTTGGAGCTACTTGGTACCATGGTTCTACCTAATCTGCATATTTCTCATGTACACAGTAAAGATTAAAATACGTACCAAAAGACTCAAAAACTAAAATGATACTCCACGTGACATGATAGATAAGTTATTAATCTAATTTGTTGAAATAGAAAGTTTTCAAAGCCAGGCCACCTTTTATCCCACCTTTTATCCCAGTACCCAGGAGGCAGAAGCAGGCAAATCTCCAAGGTCAAGGCCAGCCTGGTCTCCATAGTGAATCCAGGCCAGCTATGACTACAGGGAGACCTTGTCTCAAAAAGACCAATTAGAGAGAGAGAGAGAGAGAGAGAGAGAGAGAGAGAGAGAGAGAGAGAGAGAGGGATATAGAGAAAAAGAGCACACAAACAAAATAAAAAAAACAAAATATATAACACATAGTGAGTTCACAGGCCAGCTATGACTACAGGGAGACCTTGTCTCAAAAAGACCAATTAGAGAGAGAGAGAGAGAGAGAGAGAGAGAGAGAGAGAGAGAGAGGTATTAAAAGAACGACTGCACACATAAAATATAATAAAGTAATTATTTCAACTAAATAGTTGTCATTAGCCTACTACATTTGTTCAGCAACATTTATTGAATATTTGACATGTTCCAGGTACAAGTACAGATAGTAGGGTTAGGAATGTGAATAGCACACATTAGAAAGTTTCATAGAACCTGAGTATTTAAAAGAATAATATTTTCCCTAACAGCTATAGTGGCCTAGAGCTGTGGACACTGCCTGAGATCACCTAACTCGGTCTCCATGGGCTGAGCTTCCCAAATCCTGCCATGCCCATCCCCCTGCTTTGGGATCACCTGCAGTCCCTCCCACTGCCCAGGGTCAGCCTTCTTGGCTACCTAGTAGAAGCCCAGCCCATTACCAACAGCCTGAGAGCCCAGACTCAGCATCTGCGCATCTGAGGGCTGAGATTACTAAATCTGGCCTTGCCCATCTCTGCTTTGGGACCATCTGCAATCCCTGCCACTGTCCCAGGGCCAAGTTTCCCTGGGCCTTCAGGGTAAGCTTCCCAATCAAATCTTGCCCATAACCCTGCTTTGGGACCATCTTAAGTCCCTTCCAATGCCCAAGGACCAGGCTTCCCTGCTGGCTAATAAGGGCCAAGACTTTCCAGGCTGGCGAGTAAGGGCCCAGACCTTTCACATCTGCCTGAGCGCACCTGACTCAGACTCCAAGGTGAGTTTCCCAATCCCACTGCCATGCCAATCCCCCTGCTTTAGAACCACCTGCAGTCCCTCCCACTGCTCCAGGGCTTAGGCTTTCAACATGACTAGCAGGGACTGGCAAATCCACCTCCCATCTCTTCTCCTGGGACCTTGGCACTATCCAGCTGAGACCTCCAAAGTGCTCCTAACGAGCGAGGGCCCCTGAGTAGCCTGACTAGAGCCATCTGGTATCTCTAATATAAAATCGAAAGAGAAAACTTCAAGCATAGACCAACCAGCTTTCCATACCCATTCAGAAAGCAATCATGGTACATCAATAATACAAACAGAATCAGACTTCAACTCAACAAAGAAAGGCTTGAGTTTCATTACTAGAATCACAAGTAACAAAAGAAGCTCAAATGTCAAAACCACAACAAAAAAACTAATATGTACCCACCAAACACCACCAGTCTTATAGAAGAGTTCTACAAGGAGAACCCCTAGAGATAACCCAGGACACAGAATTTTTTTAAAAAATCATAAACATGATCAAAGAATCCAACAAATTTAAAGAACACACAAACAACTCAAAGAACTAAAATAAGATAGGGATAAACTTCTGAGTTCACAAAAGAGAAATATTGAAGGAAACTCAAGCTGAAATAAAGAAGGCAGTGAAAAACTTGATGAGCCAATTTAAAACACCAGGAGAAAGCTTAACCAACAGAATGAATTAAATGTAAAAAGAATATCAAGACTGGATGATAAAGTTGAAGACTTGGAATGTTTAAGCAAGGAACATGAAAAATTCAATCCCCACCAAAAAAAAACCCCAGAGACCCCAAATTAAGGAAAGACAGACCCATAAAAGTACAAGCAGCACATAGAAGACCAAATAGGTAGGACCAGAAAAGAAATTCCCCATGGCATATATCATAGTAAAAACACTAAACACATAGAGGCAAGAGAGAATACTGAAAATTGCAAAAGAAAAATAACTCACAAATAAAGGAAAACCCATCAGAATTACAGCTGATTTTTCAATTCAAACTATGAAAACCAGAAGAGCCTGGACCAAAGTATTCCCAGTTCGAAATGCACGTAGATGCCACCCCAGAATATTTTACTCAGCAAAGCTATCTATTGTAGTTGAAGGGGAAAGAAAAATCTTCCATGACACAAATGGGCTGAAAGAATTCATGTTTATCAAACCAGCCCTTCAGAGAATACTCGAAGCAATACAAAAGGCCTAAGAAAGGAACGACTATACCCAAGAGACAACATAAAGAAACTAAATGAAGGTATAATTGTGGAAACACAAAGTAAGAACAAGACCAAGGTAAGAGACATCTACTGAATATTCGGCCCAAGCACCAAAAAATACACTTTCTATTCAAGAGTAGCTGGAAGTTTCTCTTAAATTGACCACATACTGGGGCACAAAACAAACCTCAACAAATACAAAAAATTGAAATGATTTCATAAATTCTAGTGAATCACAATGCAATAAAGCTTAAAATAAACACCAAAAGAAGTTTTAGCAACTACAGGAACTCATGGAGATTAAACAACACATTCCTGAATGATGAATGGGTCAAAGAAGAAACTAAGAAAGAAATAAAAGTATTCTTGGAACAAAATGAAAAAGCTAATATAACAGAACAACAAGAAAAAAAAAAAAAAAAAAAAAAACCTCTGGGATATTTTAAAAGCAGCCCTAACAGGGAAATTTATAGCTCAAAGTGCCTATGTTGAAAAAATCAGAAAGGGGGCTAGAGAGACAGCTCAGCAGTTAAGAGCACTCTGTTCTTGCAGAGGACCCGGGTTCAATTCAGAGCACCCACATGGCAGCTAACAACTGTCCATAACTCCAGTTCCAGGGGAATCTGATGCCTTCTGACCTCCTCAGGCATTGCACAGCACATGTGCATTTACATACATGCAGGCAATATAATCATACACATAAATTTTTTTTTAATTCAAAAAATCAGAAAGAACACAAATAAATGACTTAATATTGCAACTCAAGACTCTGGAAATGCAAGAATAAATGAAACCCAAACCCAGCAGATGAGAAGAAATAACAAAAATCTGAGCAGAAATTAATGAAATAGAAACAAACAAACAACAAGACAATGAATCTAAGAACTACTCTTTGAAATGATAAAGAAGATAGACCCCAAGCCTAGTTAACCAAAAGAAAGAGCAGATTCAATCAACAACTCAGAGATGAAGGGGAAACATCATAAAAGACATGAAAAAGATTCAGAACATTATAAGGGAATACTTTAAATATACCTATACTCCATTAAATTGGAAAACCTAACAGAAATGGATGAATATCTACATTCATGGAAACCACAATTAAAGCAAGAGGAGATAAACATCTAAACAGACCCATAACAAAAAAGGAATCTGATACAGTAATATAAAACCTCCAGACTCAGAAAAAAAAAACAACGCAGGCCCAGACACATTCACAGAATTCTACCAGACATTGGAGAACAAAAAAAAAAAAAAAAAAGGCCGGGCATGGTGGTGCATGCCTTTAATCCCAGCACTCGGGAGGTCTGCAGAGGCAGGTGGATCTTTGTGAGTTTGAGGCCAGCCTGGTCTATATAGTGAGTTCCAGCTGGGGCTACAAGGAGGCACTGTCTCAAAAAAGACAAAAAAAAAAAAGAATATCTACAACAAGTAGTACTTAAATTATTCAAAAAGATAGAATCAAATGGAGAACTCTCAATCTCCTTCTATGAAGCCAGCAACACTCTAATACCAAAACCAGATAAAAGCACAGCAACAACAAAAACAATAGATTCATATCCTTAATAAACACAGATGCAAAAATTCTTAACAAAATGCTCCAAATCACATATAGATAAACATCAAGAAGATTATCCACCATGATCAAGTAAGTTTATTCCAGAGATTCAGGGATGATTCAATATATGTAAGTCAATAAATGCTTTAAAAAATATAAAGGGACTCAAAGACAAGAATCACATGGTCATTTCAACAGATGCCGAAAAGGTCTTTGACAAAATCTAATGTGAAATTATGTTAAAAGTCCTAGAGGAAACTGGACTGCAGGGAACATACCTCAACATATTTAAAGCTATAAACAACAAACCCATGGCCAACATCATTCAAAATGAAGAAAAACAGGAAACACTTCCATTAAAATCAGGAACCAGACAAGGATGTCCACTATCTCGACTCCATGTGCTTGAAATTCTTGCTAGAGCAGTAAGACAAGAGAAGGAAATTAAAGGAATAGTAATTGGAAAAGAAGAGGTCAATTTATCCATGTTTGGAGATATTATATTATACATAAGAGTTCCCAGAAACTCTACCAGAGAACTTCTTGAAATT